ATAAGGTTCAGTCTCTCTCAACAGTCCAGGTACTATTCCTAAATTGAAGTCCTCCTCAGCACCCGGTGGCAGAGTATATTATAGCTGTCATAAATGACTGCCTGACTTTTCTGCAGGCACAGCAAGTCTACTTGCTTTGTTTTTTAAGGTGTCTGTCCTGATAGCTGAGAATTGCAGCATGCAGCTTTTTTTGGGCTCCCCTTTGATCCCCTTATGCATCAGACTCAAATTGCATGATTGTCACTTCCAGTCACACTCAGATTGTGTTTTTTGAGCACTTCCACTCTTTCCTTCTGTGTTGTAGGAGAACTGTGAGCAGAATTGCAGGGGATTCCCTGCAGCTGCGGGAGACACCCTTAGAGCTGGTGCAGAAGCCTATTTAAGCTGGCCGCAGGGCTGCTTCATCTCCCCCCGCCTGTCTTCCACTCTTAATGCCCATCATGTCATATGATGTTTGGGGCTGCTATATGTCTGGATTTTGCTGGTGTACCTATTTCTTATTAAGTACCTGACTTCTTTCGGTCTATCTCATGCAGATCTTCTGCCACAACCTTCTGCCATGTCCCTTTCTGCCAAAACCTTCTGCCACCTATGCCTCAGCTCCATTGAGAGTCTACAAGAAAGTTCAGGTGGGAGTCATTACTGGGAATACATTGGAGAGAAAAAAAAAAGAGTCCTAGTATAGCTAACCTATGCTTCTCTTCGTGTTTCAGTTCTAAGACTAAACTGTCCTTTCCGCAGGAAGAAATATATAGTTCCATCTCCCCTTTGCAACATCTCAAGAAGTCTGAGAATTCAGCTTATTGTACTAGACAAGTCGAGCCTGGCCATTATGGCTCATAGTGCTATCTTATAGATCTTTTGATTCATCCACTCCACATAGATCTGGTTGCTCCCAAGAATCCCTTGCTTTATACAAGTGGAGGTAGTGGAAAGAATGCAAAAGTTCATGTCTCACTCCTAAAAGTAGGCAGGTGAAGAGAACAAAACCCTCCATGTTGAACACTGCATCCTTGGTTAGGGATACAATCCAGAAATCTGAGGAGGGGAAGAAGGAGTGAAATTCAGTAGTTAAGGAAGTGTTAAAGTGGAAAGAACTGTTCCAGCCTAAAAAAGCCAGGATATTCAGTATATTCATCCTTTAATAAAAGAGCCCTCAGCCTTCCTCTTATTTCAATAATAATAAATATGAATAAAAAAAAACTACTGGAAGATGACTGGGCTGGACCTGGTAAAAAGATCTCTTTTCAAAACAGATTTTCTAAATTATATTTGATGACAGACACATATGCAGAGTTAATTGATGCTTCCCTTAAAGTGGGAGACTGGCATAGCATATGACCTTACCTCTTGATAATGCAGCGTCCTTCAAGGATGTAATGGACAGACAAACATACATGGATCTAGAAGATCTACTCGGCAGCAACCAGCAGCCTGAAAGCCCTGTTAAAGATGAGACCACCTAGGAAGCCAAAATTCCCACACTGGGATCTTTCATTGGTCTCTCCATGGGTTCACCCTCTCTGGACTATGTCCTAAAAATTATATTGAAACTTCATCTCACTTGATTTAACTAAAGAGAAAAGTGCCTATTAGGAAGTATGAAAGGCTCTTCATCCTACTGACAAGGACAAGAAGGGTCAACCAGCAACAGAGAATGATTGCCGCATTGCATCCAAAATTCATGGCTGGGACCCTCTTGGCTATCTTAAGGTACATTGAACCAGAGGTGTGGCAGCATCTTGGACATTGGCTGTGAGTATACAAGTGGATGTCATCTGAAAAGCTGTGAGTTGGTCATAACTGAATAAATGTATTACCCGCTACAGGCTGAATGTGGTGGCAGTCTCCCATTGCACTTTTTCGCTTCTAAATCTATTCTTTTGCTATTTCCCATAGTCAGTCAATTTTCCTACATTGTTTCTTACTATGCAGGTCCCTCTCATGGGACATAATGAAGTGCCTGGAAAACAGAAAAATACTATCAGATACTTATCAAAATTTTCCTTTTCTGGCACCTCACCATCAACAACTCCAGTTTGGATCTGGAATTATATAACCAGAAACATCAGCTACAGGTATGGGGAAATCTTATTAGCTGCTTAAAGGGACTGTCTTGTGGGATTCAGAGGTATAGCTCAGCCCCTT